AATACATAAGCATGCAATAAATGTTTATGAACAGATACAGTAAATGTTGACAGTTTTATTATTGTTCACTTAGTATTCTTTTGACTCTTGCTAATTTGTTCATTCATCTAGTAATTATTTGGAGAGGTTGAAATTTTAAAAATACACGAACTAAAAATACAAAATCATAAAAATTTATCCGAGTTAATATGTATATAAATAGAGAAATATTCATTATTTGATATTATCAAAATAATTCCCTCTTGACCATGGAACAGTAGTATAGCATAGGAATATAATTTGCAAACTACTGGCATAGAATTCAGAGAAAGATAAATCTCCCATCAAAAGTTTTCAAGGGGGCAGCCCAGATGGCTCAGCGGTTTGGTGCCGCCTTCAGTCCAGGGCGTGATCCTGGAGAGACCTGGGATCGAGTCCCACATCAGGATCCCTGCTCCTACCTCTACCTGTGTCTCTGCCTCTCTCTCTGTCTCTCATGAATAAATTAAAAAAAAAAAAAAGTTTTCAAGGAACTAGCAGCTGTCATACTATTATATCACCTATAATTTAGTACTTTCTGGTAAAATATAAAAGCATACCTTGTTTTATTGCACGTGGCTTTATTGTGCTTCACAGATATTACCTTTTTTTTCCCCCAAAATTAAAGGTTTATGGTAACCGTGCATGGAACAAGTCTATTGGCACCATTTTTCTAACAGCGTTTGTTCATTTCTTTGTAACATTTTAGTAATTCTTGCAATATTTCAAACTTTTTTGTTATCATTATATTTATCATGGTGATCTGTGATCAGCGATCTTTGAGGTTACCATTGCAATTGTTTTGGGGTGCTATGAACTGCACCCATATAAAATAGCAACCTTAATTGATAAATGTTGCATATATCCTGACTGTTCCACTATTTGTTTCCCCAACCTCTCTTCTCCATTAGCCTCCCTATATCCTGAAACTCAACAATATTGCAATTAGGCCAATTAATAACCCCACAACAGCCTCTAAGTGTTTAAGTGAAAGGAAAAGTCACAAATCTCTCATTTTAAGTCAAAAGCTAGAACTAATTAAGCTTAGTAAAAATTAAGGCATGTTGGAAGCTGAAATAGGCCAAAAGGTAGGCCTCTTGCATTAGTTAGCCAAGTTGTGAATGTGAAAGTAAAGTTCTTGAAAGAAACTAAAAGTGCTACTCCAGGGAAAACACAAATCATAAGAAAGTGAAACAGCCTTACTGCTGATGAGAAAGTTTTAGTGATCTAGATAGAGGATTGAACTAGTCACGCCATTCCCTTAAGCCAAAGCCTAATCCAGAGCATGGTCCTTACTCCCATTGATTCTACAAAGGCTGAGTGTATTGAAGCTGCAGAAGAAAAGTTTGAAGCTAGCATGAGGTTTATAAGGAAAGGAGTCATCTCTGTAATATTAAAGTGCAAGGTGAAGCAGCAAGTGCTGATATGGAAGCTGCAGCGCATTATCCAGATCTAGCTCCAATAAGCCACAGAGGTAGCTACACTAAACAACAGACTTTCTGTGTAGATCAAACAGGCTTCTCTTGGAAGAAGATGTCATCTAGGAGTTTTATAGCTAGAAAGGAGAAGCCAATGCCTGGCTTCAAAGGACAGGCTGACTCTCTTATTAGGAGGAATGCAGCTGGTGACTTTAAATTGAAGCCAACGTTCATTTATCATTCTGATCTTCCTAGGGCCCTTAAAAATGCTCAATCTACTTTGCCTATACTCTAAAAATGGAAGAATAAAGCCTGGATGATAGCACATATGTTTACAATATGGCTTATTGAATAGTTTAAGCCCACTGTAGAGATGTACTGCTCAGAAAAAAAAAAAAGATTCTTTTCAAATTATTACTGCTTATTGACAATGCACCTGGTCACCCTAGAGCCCTGATGGAGATGTAAAATGAGATTAGTATTATTTTCATGCCTGTTGACACAACATTCATTCTGTAGCCCATGGATCAAGAAGTAATTTCAAGTCTTATTAGTTAACATTTTGTGAGGCTATAACCACCCCACATAGCAATTCCTCTGATGGATCTGGGCAAAGTCAACTGAAAAACCTTCTGGAAATGATTCACCATTCTAGATGTCATTAAGAATATTCATGATTCATGGGAAGAGGTCAAAATATCAAGGTGAATGGAAGTTTGCAAGAAGTTGATTCTAACCCTCATGGATGACTTGAGGGGGTTCAAGACTTAGTGGATAAGATAACTAACTGCAGATGTGGTGGAAAGAGCAGGAGAATGAGAATTAGAAGTAGAACCTGAAGATGTGACTGAATTGCTGTAATCTCATGACAAAACTTCAACACATGAGGGCTTGTTTCTTTTAGATGAACAAAAGAAGTGGTTTCTTGAGACAGAATCTATTTTTGGTGAAGATGTTGTGAAGTATTTAAATGAAAACAAAGGACTTAGAATATTACATAAACTTAGCTGGTAAAGCAGTGGCAGGATTTGAGAAGTCAATTTGACAGTTTGAAAGTCAATTTGAAAACTGACTCCAATTTTGATAACATTACATGCTAGAGAGAAATCACTCCTGAAAGGAAGAGCCAACTGATGAGGCAAACTCATTACTGTCTTTAAGAAATCGCCAAAGCTGTTCCAACCTTCAACCGCCACCCTAATTAGTTAACAGCCATCAACACTGAGGCAAGACCCTCCACCAGCAAAAAAAAAAAAAAAAAAAAAAAAAAAAAAAAATATATATATATATATATATATATATATATATATATATATATATATATTATGACTTGTTGGAAGGAAGCTCAGATGATGGTTAGCATTTTTTAGCAATGAAGTATTTTTTAAATTAAGGTATGTACAATTTTTTTTTTTAGACATAACACTGTTACAAGCTTAATAGACTACAAGATAGTGTAAACATAACTTTTTAATGCACTGGGAAACCAAAAAATTCATTGGACTCACTTTACTGAAATACTCACTTTACTGTGGTGGTCTATTACTGAACCTGCAATATCTCCAAGGTATGCCTGTAATATGCTTTCAAAAAACCAGGATTGAAGGATTTTCTCAATAGAGAACAAATGTTATTTTGAAATTCATAAGAATATCAAGGATTCCAAAAATGCCACATTCTCTAGTGGGTGGTAACATACACTTGATCACTTCTTTTTCTAACAAATGAATTGTTGTAGTTCAAATATTCATTACAAAGATATAAAAACCACATCATGGGTAACTGGCAAAACAAAAGACAAAACCAAGCAAAAAACCTCCATGAACATTTAATCTATATCCATTCATAAAAGGATTAAAGCAAAGTTAAGAAGCCTGGAAGTACAGTAAAATGACTAGTTGACAAGTACTGTGATATTTAGAAAACCTCTCTGAAACCTGTTCTCCATGAATTTTTGTATCAACTGTACTTACAAAAATGGTATTTATAACTGAAATAATCATCAAACTACTTTCACTGTTAAGTCAGTTTTAACATCAGTGATAAAAACTAAGTTCTAAAAACTAGATCCTTAAGACTGTTACTTATATTATTACTCACTGCTTACTCAAACTCTACATCTGTAAGCAGGGATCAGCTGTTCTGCAAAACAAGAAATTAATAGCAGCTATTAACAGATACATAAGAAAATAATTAGACCAGTTACTACAGGAGCTACAATGCTTGTTCTGGGCTCAAAGATCTTAATTAGAAAGAAAAACTACAAAAAGAGGGCACTTGAGATGAAGCCTATGGATTTATGACGGCATTGCTGTATTTACAAATATATTTCATATCTAGAAAAATTCACTAATTAGACTTGTAAGAATTCTCTCCGGACCTTCCCTGCCTTTTTGGGAGAAGGGGAAGGGAAGTGTGTTAAATATTTAGATATGGAGCAAGAAGAATCGGGCTCCTACACACATTAAATATAAAAAAAAAAAACACATTTCTGGAGGAAACTACTTAGAAACTGCAGCCAGGCAGAATCAAAGGAAAGGAGAAAAATCCGTACTACTTTGGAGTTCTGGATTCGGAAAGCATCACTTCTCAGGAGTGACTTCAATACAGAGGTCACGGATTTAGGATTGTTGATCCGGATGGGCAGAGGAGAGCTGGAAAAGAATTAGCTTTAGGCACGAGGTCCAAGACTAACAAACCATAGTACGCGCGAAGGCAGCTTTATAAATACACCAGAGGCAAGAACGAAACCGTCTGGCAACATGAAATGGGACAGAACGTAGACTGAAACTCAACAGCAGGCCTGGGGTTCAATTTGAGTAGCAGCGGTTAATGCACATTTCGTAACACATCACAAGTAACAGAAAAAGAAAAAAAAAAAAAGTCACACGGAAGGCTTCCTTTCTGGGAAGAGCTACTAGCAATCATCAGCAAGGTTAACATTTTTGTCTCAGACCGGGCCAAGGTAGCTGGGTCGACAAACCAACCCTTTGGGAAGACGGGCAGCGTAGGGTAACCTGGCAACGGAGGGCCGGCTGTGCAGACCGCCCCGGCCATTCCCGAGCCATTCCCGAGCGAGCGGCCCTGCAGGGCGTGTCTAACCCGGGCTGTCCAGCGCGGCCTCGGCGTGTTTCCTCCCCGCACGCGGGCCGCCGTCGGGCCGTCCTGTGCCTCGGCCCTCCGCCAGCGCACCTGCGCTCTCGGCCAACAGCTACGCCCGCTGGCCCACCGTCGGCGCCGGCGGCAAGATTCAAAAGCTGTTCCCGGCTCGGGGAGGATGAACTCTCTCCAGGCTCCCCCGGAATCACACCTCCCACGGGACAAGCCATCTGCAGCCCCGGCCACTGGAAACTGCCGGGGTGGGGCCGGAGTGTCCGCGGAAGCGCCTCCCAAGCCAGCGCTGCGCCCTAAGCCGAGGCCTAGAAAGGGTGGCGGGGCCAGGCCTGTTTGCCCAGTGAAGCGCCGCTCGGCAGCCGAGGGCTGGCCCACGTTTCTCCTCCCAGCCCGGGGGTCTTGGAGCAACAAGGAAGAGGAACGGCGAAAGGACGGCACCGCGCAGCTCACCCCAGGTTCAAGGCATCGCGCTTCCGGCGGCAGCAGCTCCGCCTCAGCCCACGGCTCAGGCCCGCAGGTGGAGGCGGAGGCGGAGGCGGCGGCGGCGGCGGCGGCGGCGACGCCCGCTCGGCCTGCGCCCGGGGCGCGCCTCAGTGACGCAAGGGCCCGCCCCGCCCCCAGCGCGTTGCCTGGAAACGGCGCCCAACCTCTCCCAGGCGCCGGGCGCTCCCCGGTGTCCCTCGCCTCTGAGTGTGCGGACCTTCGACGACGCCTGAGCCCGTGAGGCCCGGTGAGAGGAGAGGGGGCCGCGCCCAGAGGCGGCGGAGAGCTTCGCCGGGCGGGCTCCTCTAGGCGCGGCCCCGTGAGGTGGCCCGGCTCCCGCCTGGCCGACTGCCGCCTCCCCTGGCGCCATCCCCCGAGCAGCTGTGCAGGGCCCAGCTGCTGACAAAGGCCGCCCTGTATACACATCCTGGGTTTGGCCGGGGCTTGGACAGTCCAAGCCACCGCTTGTTAGGCCTCCAGCCTCCCAGTGGTCGTAGCTACACAAAGGTAATCTTGTTACTCTACCGTGAGGTGGGGCCGCTGATAGCCTGGCCAGGTCAAGAAGCCTCAAAGACCGTGGAAAGCGGGTAGCACGGCTCCCCCAGCGGTAAGCCCTCGTAAGGTGGCAGCAATGAGCGAGGATGTCGGCGGTATTGTTGCCGTCCGTTACGCATCTGTTGTGTGCCAAGTGTTCTGTTAGGTCACCTTACAGGCCTTGCCCTTGTTTCAGCAGTTTGCTCAAAGTTTCGTAGCTAGTGAACAACAGAGCAAGGATTTAACCTCGGGTTTTAAACCACTTATGGTAGGTTAAACTAAATTAAGCTACTTAGCAGCTAAATTAAACTATTTATGATTCTTCATATGAGGACACTTGTCCTTCAATCATTTGTAGATGTGTCCTGTGATGCATTAATCCTGCCCTCTAATAATGGATGATACTTATCGACCATTAGAACAAGCCCCTGTTCGGGATCCCTGGGTGGCGCAGCGGTTTAGCGCCTGCCTTTGGCCCAGGGCGCGATCCTGGAGACCCGGGATCGAATCCCACGTCGGGCTCCCGGTGCGTGGAGCCTGCTTCTCCCTCTGCCTGTCTCTCTCTCTCTCTCTCTCTCTTGTGACTATCATTAAAAAAAAAGAACAAGCCCTGTTGGGGCAGCTCCGGGTAGCTCAGCGGTTTAGCGCCGTCTTCAGCCCAGGGCCTGACACTAGAGACCTGGGATCGAGTCCCACATCAGGCTCCCTGCATGGACCCTGCTTCTCCCTCCGCCTGTGTCTCTCATGAATAAATAAATAAAATCTAAAAAAAAAAAAAAAAAACAAGTCTGTTTTAAGTCCTTAAAAAAAAAGATTTTATTTGAGAGATACAGAGATAGTGATGGAGATAGTGAGAGAGAATACGAGGTGGGGAGGAGAGGGAGAAGCAGGCTCTATCCCAGGACCCTGAGATGACCTGAGCCAAAGGCAGATGCCCAACTGGCTGAGCCACCCAGGCGCCCCTGTTTTACATACTATAAAGGTATAAATTAATAACCTCACAGCAATCGAATGAGATAGGTAATGTTAATACTTTCATTTTACAGTTGAAGAAATAAGAAAGTCAATTAGCTTTTCCAAGGTCAACCAACCAGCTAAGGAGCAGAGCTGTATTCAGACCCGTGCTGCCTGAACCATCAGCCTATGCTTTTAACTCTTATTGTAAACTGCCTCAGTAAGATGGTAAGATGTCATCAGGGCCAGGGTCTGTGTTGTCTGTGTACTTTTATACCTTATGGAGAAGGTTCTGAGGATTGTCTTCCTGACAACTAGCACAGAGCCCGGCCTGCAGTAGTTGTTCAGTATTTGAAGATGTGATGAAGATAGGAACATTGGAGAAACCAAGCCCAAGAATGAGATATAGGTAATGATTTAGTAAATTAAAAAAGAAATCTAATTAAATTCAACAAAGTCCTATAGTTTAGCCTAATCTGGGCCTGGGAGTCAGGAGTATTTCTCTATAAAATTTTCCTTCAATTAAATATAGTTTGAGGTTCCAGTCAGTGCAATACAACCAGACAAAGAAATAAAAGGCATGCAGATTGGAAAGGAAGAAATAACACTGTATTTGCAATCAAAAATACTTTTTAAAATATTTTATTTATTCAGGAGAGACACAGAGAGCGAGGCAGAGACAAAGGCAGAGGGAGAAGCAGGCTCCTTACAGGGATCCCGACGCAGGACTCAACCCCCAGAGCCTGGGATCACACCCAGAGCCAAAGGCAGATGCTCAACCACTGAGACACCCAGGTGTCCCTACTTACAACTATTTCTTACAAACATTTTCCTACATCTTTTTTATATGTAAGAAAAATAAAAGTTTCCTTTGCCTGCTACAAAATAACTTCATAATTCCTATTTCAGAATTTCTAATCTCTTCTATTACAGTTTTTAAGATAATCCTTATTATTGTCTTACTGATTTGCAACAATTATGCCAGGACAATTCAACCACTGAGCCACCCAGGCATCCCTGTGTTCAGATGATTTCCTAATCAACATCGTTAATTGTTATCCTTCATTATTGTCCCAGTCCTGTATTTCCATATTTATATAGAATATCTCCCAGAGGAATGAATATACCACAATAATGGGCATTTGAATTCAAGAATTTCTGTGTCAAAGGAGCTTCAGCATTCCTTCTGGTCTCTCAGACTAAATCATATGAAGAGATTTCTTTCTGTCTCCTAAAGCATTCTGTCATGGTATCCTGTACTTTATTTATTTATTTATTTATTTATTTATTTATTTATTTATTTATTTATTTATTTATTTATGATAGGCACACAGTGAGAGAGAGAGAGAGAGAGGCAGAGACACAGGCAGAGAGAGAAGCAGGCTCCATGCACCGGGAGCCCGACGTGGGATTCGATCCCGGGTCCCCAGGATGGCGCCCTGGGCCAAAGGCAGGCGCTAAACCGCTGCGCCACCCAGGGATCCCCTATCCTGTACTTTCTTTAAAATTTCTCCTTGTTTTATTTTTTTGTCATATTTTTTTTGAGTTTTTAGCGTGTGTGTCAGATACCAAAAGTATTCTATATGTATTATCTCACTTGTAAGTCTAACAACAGCCCTAAAAAATGTCGATATCATCTCAATTTTAAAGAAGAGAAAATGGTCCTGGAGAGGTTAAATAAATTGTCCAAGGTCACTTAGTTCATAAGTGGTAGAGCAGGGATTCAAATCTACCATCTGATTTCAGAACCTCAAGTTTTAGCTATACATTATATTTCTACTCTTGGGCTTAACCTGTTCTTGTCAATTCCATACCATCATCTCAGTATAAGTTCCTTGTTATTTGACAGATTAGTATACTAACATCTTAGCCATCAACTTATTCTGAAACATATTTACTATTCAGTCCATCTTGTATCTTGCTGGCAGACCAAGCAACTTAAAACATTATATTTATTAAATCTATATCATAAAGGTGCTGGTGCTCATACTAGCCAGGTCATATCAACAAAATGGACCCCAGTATTTGGGAACTCATTTTATTTTATTATTTTATTTTTTAAAAGATTTTATTTATTTATTCATGAGACACACACACACACACACACACAGAGAGAGAGAGAGAGAGAGAGAGAGAGAGAGAGGCAGAGACACAGGCAGAGGGAGAAGCAGGCTCCATGCAGGGAGCCTGATGTGGGACTTGATCTCGGGTCTCCAGGATCACACCTTGGGCTGAAGGCGTTGGTAAACCACTGGGCCACCAGGGCTGCCCGGGGAACTCCTTTTAAATGGATGATGTAACCATCTCATTGTCTCAAAGATCTACCTGGATCTTGGGGATCATTGTATATACTACCTGCCCCCATAGTTATCCTGTCATTCCATACCACCTCCCATTCTCTCTACAATCCTTTATTGCTATGTCCTATGACCACTGATCTTTGAAACTCTTTATGTCCCACTTTCTTTTGGCATGCCTCGCCTTCACTCACCCCAGGCTAGTTTCCTCTCTGCTTTAGCTATCTCAGTTTGACCTCAGGAATTCCCATTCTCCAGCCAACAACACCTCTACCATTATTTGCTTTTCCTTTGAACACTTTCTACTTTACTGAAATCAGGAATCCACTTCCCTGACAACCTTTTTGGCTAGGAGACAAGTTAACATTCTCTTCTCTAGCTGTCACATCCTGTCACATCAGTGTTTTAATATTGTCAATCAGACATCTCTTTCCTTTAAACTCTTCTGGCTGTAAGTCTATTTTTTTCCCCCCAAGCCAGCTAGGCCTAATAACCTAAGGATCAAAGAAGTCACATTTCTCTTCATGTAAGTGCAAAACTCAAACCTTACCATTATCATGTATAACAAGGAAAGGTCAAGCTAGTGTTTTCTGACAGGGCCAGGGGGAATGAAGTCAGAAATTTCAAGAGCTGGGAACTATCCACCTTGGTTGTTTGGGTCCCTGTTGCCACAGACAGGCCAATGGGAAATGACACAGTTTACTCCAGACAGCAAAACCCAGCTCAGTTTTATCACTCTGCTACATGGAAAACAAGGCCTAGAAGCAGCCAGTTCATAATTAAATTTCCTAGATTATCTACTATCCTTACAGATAGTAAATTTTTACTACTTTGTTTTGAATTAGGATCCAAACAAGATCCTCTCATTACATTTTGACTGTTATATTTGAAATTTCCTTTGAGAGCAGTCTTCCCCCCCTCCTTTTTTCATACGATTAAGTTATTGCAGAAACTGGATGTATTGGGGTTCGACCAGAGAAACAGAACAAGTGGGAGATATATAATAAGAGATTTATTACAAAGAATTGGCCTGCTCAGTTGGGAAAGCTGGTAAGACAAGATAGAAATGGAATTTGTGGGCATGAACTGAAACCACTATGCACAGATAAAATTTTTCTGTACAGCCTTCTGCTCTTAAATTCTTTGAACTGAAACCACTAAGCACAGATAAAATTTTTCTGTACAGCTTCTGTTCTGCTCTTAAATTCTTTCAACTGATCAAATCAGACCCATCCAGATTATGTAGGATGATCTCCCTTAACTTAAAGTCAATTGATTATGGACTTACATATACAAAATAGCTTCATAGCAACACTTAGATTAGTGTTTGATTGAATAACCAGGGACTAAAGTCTAGCCACACTGATACATAAAGACTATCACATTGGGTTGATTGGGTTATATGGACTATTCCTATATTCTGGATTTATTTGTTTTCTTCCTTATAGGGTTATTTACTTTGTGCTTTTTCTCCTCATATTTTCATAAATGCAGTTTGGCTTTAGAGGTTTGACTATTCTGGCCGGAATACTTTATAAGTGGTACTGTGTGCTTCATGTTATATCAGAGAGCCCACAATATCTGCTTGTCCTCACTTTAAGACTTATCATGGGGGTTCTAATCAATATTTTATCTAATCATTTTATCCATTAGGATGGTAGCCTGAATCCACTTTATTAGGGATTAAAAAATGGTGACTTTCTAATTATTTATTTATTAGTGTCATTTCTGTAAAAAACTTTTCTGTATAAACTGGGGCTGTTTGGTTACCTTGAAATACTGTCCATTCAGGAAAGGCAAGAAAAATGCCAATTCTTTCTTTTAAGAGTTAGTGCCTACTTACTAGCAATGATGTCCAATGTGTGGAATTTAATTGTTTTTAGTATAATGGCAAATTTATGGGTTTTATATACTTGATTGATAGCATTTAGTATGACTTTTGTTATGTAGTTCCATATTTGGCAAGTGGTAACCACATCATACTGTTTTTTTTTTGACAGGACGGCTTTCTTGCATTTTGGTTCCTTCCTGGCTTATCTTCTATATTTCCTGTTTTAGACCTGGAACCAGCCATTCCTCCAAGGAGTTCTGGATTCTTTCAATGGGGAATGGTATTTAGAGACCACAGTCTTGGTTGCTAGATGTATTTATAGCTATTGGACTGTCATTACTTTTAGTCCTTTTCAGAAGGCAGAGCTAGGGAATATATATTTTTTGTTTGTTTGTTGGAAATATATACATTTGGAAGAAAATAACAGTTTAGAGTTTATACTGCTATTCCTAATTTAAATTTAATATTACAAGATTTTAAATATAACTGATTTTAATAGTTGTATCTCTTTAATCTCACATTGCAAATCTTATTACCTAATAACATTAAGTAATTATTTATATTATAAGAAAATAGATTCAAAATAAAAATATCAATATTACTATTGGCTATTTGGTTACCAAATGAAATTTATATATACTTACTGCTCTATTTGTCCTTAGAACTTGTATCACTACGGACGCCTGGGTGGCTCAGCGGTTGAACGTCTGCCTTATGGCTCAGGGCGTGATCCTGGAGTCCCTGGATCGAGTCCCACATCAGGCTCCCTTCATGGAGCCTGCTTCTCCCTCTGCCTATGTACCTGCCTCTCTCTCTCTTTGTGTCACTCATAATAAATAAATAAAATATTAAAAAAAGCATGTATCACTAATAATGTAGAGTCAAAATAGCTGTGATTGAGCTCCTTGAAATAATCTCCTTTTTTTTAGTGGTTCCTCAGTTTGTTTTTTTATTTTTAGAAATTGCTTAAGTTTACTTTTGAAATGTCAAAGTTTTCTATGTTTCCAAAGTTAGAACTACATAATAAGGCATATTTGGAGAAGTATCATGCCCATTCTCAGTCCTCTGTTACCTCCTTTTCCTATATTTAAACATTTTAGTCTTTGTTTACAGGATTTTTGTAAATATAAGTGAATACATACACAAATATAAATAGAAATAAAAATGTTTGTGTTTGCTGTCCTATCATTACACTAAGTATAGTGTTCTGTAACTTCCTTTTTTTTTTCGCTTAGTAATATATCCTGAAGATCACTTAGTATTAGTATAATTAAAGAATGGAGATCTACCTCATTTTTTTTTGACAAGTATGGAGTATTCCAGTTTATTGATTTATCATAGTTTCTTCAACCAAACTCCTTTTGATGGACGTTTGGGTTGCTGTTACCCATAGAGTTAAACAGTGAATGACCTTTTATGTAAGTAATTTAACTATTTTTTCCCCCCAGATATTACCAAAGTCCTCTCTATGGGATTCTCAAAAGTAATACATGAGAGTGCTCTGCATACCTGGGTCAAAAGAATATTCTATCATATTTTTTTGAATTTGTGCCAATCTGATAGAATTGGTATAGCAGGGATTAGTTTTAATTTTCACTTTTCTTATTATGAGTAATAGTGAGCTAATTTCATATATTTGCCATTTTTAAAAATTTTAAAAAAGATTTTACTTATTTATTCATGAGAGACACAGAGAGAGAGAGGGAGAGGCGGGCTCCGTGCAGGGAGCCTGAGGTGGGACTTGATGCTGGTCTCCAGGATCTCGCCTGGGGCCAAAGGTGGCGCTAAACCACTGAGCCACCAGGGCTGCCCTCTGGTCCATTTCTAATAGAGTTAAGCACAAATGGAATGAGAAGTACTAATTCTCTTATCATCCACTAGGATTGGTAGATAAAATACATGACACCCAGTTAAATTTGAATTTCAGGTAAACAATAATTTTTGGTATGTATGCACAAAACATTACTTCACACATATATATGGGATATACTTACAATAAAATATTTGTTATTGACTGAAATTCAGATTTCTGAATTTGGATTTTCTGAATTTTCTGAAATTGGATTCTCTGGTATTTGTTTTGGTAAATCTCACAAGCCTATCTAGACACATTTCTTAACTTTGGGAATTTAAGGATTCCAGTGCATCAGCACTAGTGTCAGGCAATAACAACTACAGTAATACCTGGCAGAGATGGCAGTGCTTGAAGAATTTTCTGGTAACTGAAGGAAAAGGCAGCAGTCTCTAGTAGACAAGTCATCATCTAGGGCATAGCATTGTTCCCTTGGTAGATGCATTCTAGAACATAACCAGAGAAGCAGCAGAAGAATTTTGCATAGTCAGTGGTACCTTGTGAGTGTGGCAGTTCCCAGAGAATATAGAAGAAGCAGGTCTTGAGTAGAGGCCATGGTACCTGATAGCTAGAGGAAATCGTCATCATGCACCATGGGAAAGAAACAAGTAGAAGTGGTCAGTGCATCTAGTAGAAGACATAATTGTACTCATTGGAGTGTAATTAGGGCAAGAGCAGTGGGAAAAACTTAATGCCATATGTAAGGTGACCATACTTGTTTGTGAGCATGTTTGAATGTCCTGCTTGCCTCTGGGAACCAGGCCCTGCCAGGATCTGAGACAGAAAGCATCCATTGAGTGCTAGGAATAGGTAATGAGCTTTAAAGCAGAATAGTTCCACCCACCAGTAGAGATCTTGGCTGTTACCAGTTGGGTTAGTACCTCCTTTTCCCGTGGTGGGGTGGTATTAGAAAGGGGACATATAGAAGTGGGAGCAAGGATGGGAATATTCTCTTGCTTATATTAAAGATTGAATTGTTCCACAGCCCTGGTTGGCATCACATGACTTTTTCCCCTGTGCAGATGTAGGGCACCCAGCGTTTTTTAAGTGTTATTTGATTGTGCATCTTAATACTTTGACTTACCTGCATTGGGGTGTCAGCAACAGGGCAAGATCCACCACAGGCAAAACCATGTTTTAGTCCAAATTGGGATCAGGTTTGCCTCGACAGATCAGTCAATATCCATGGTAAGTTCACATTGTCTCTTTTGTCTACTAATGGCATACACCTTCTGCCGTCCTCCTTTCTAGATTTACAACCCAGATGTATTTTCCATGCTTGATCTAGTTGGATTTAGACATCTCTTAACCCTTTCTCTACCACAGAAATTTCTGTTATTTTCCCACTTGATAGTATATCTTTAATAGATTATTTTCTGTTTTTGTTTTTTATTAAGTTTAAATTTTTAATTCTAGTATAGTAAATGTACAGTGTTATATTAGTTTCAGGTATACAATATAGTGATTCAACAATTCTATACATTGCTCAATGCTCATCATGATAAGTGTACTCTTTAATCCTCATTACCTATCCCACCCATCCTCCCACCCAGCTCCCCTCTGTTGACCATCAGTTTGTTTTCTATGAAGAGTCTATTTCTTGGTTTCTCTCTCTCTCTCTTCCTTCGCTTATTTGTTTTGTTTCTTAAATTCAACATACGAGTGAAATCCTATGGTATTTATCTTTCTCTGGCTTATTTCGCTTAGCATTGTACCCTCTAGATTCAACCATGTTGTAAATGGCAAGACTTCATTCTTTTTTAATGGCTGAATAATATTCCTATATATATGGGAATATATATACATCACATCTTTTTTATCCATTCATCTCTTGTTGGAACTTGGGGTGCTTCCATAATTTGGCTATTGTAAATAATGCTACAAAAAATAGGGATGGTGCTTGTATCCCTTGAATTAGTGTTTTTGTATTTTTGAGTAAATACCCAGTTGTGTGATTACTGGATATTTTTTTTACTTTTTGAGGAAACTCCATACGGTTTTCAACACTAGATGAATCAGTTGCATCCCAACAGTGCACAAAGCGTCATTTTTCTCCACATCCTCACCAACACTTGTTATTTCTTGTGTTTTTGACTTTAACCATTCTGACAGGTGTGAGGTGATATCTCACTGCAGTTTTGATTTGCATTTTCCTGATGATGAATGATGTTGAGCATCTTTTTATGCGTCTGTTGGTCTTTTTCAGAAAAATATCTGTTCATGTCTTCTGCTCATTTTTAAATTGGATTATTTGTTTTTTTGGTGTTGAGTTGTATAAGTTCTTTATATATTTTGGCTACTGTTTACTGGATAGGTCATTTGCAAATATCTTCTCCCAGTCAGTAGCTTGCCTTTTAGTTTTATTATTTCCTTCACTCTGCAGACTTTATTCTGATGTAGTGCTAATAGTTGACTTTTTTAAAAAAAGATTTTATTTATTTATTCGCAAGAGATATATATAGAGAGGCAGAGACACAGGCAGAGGAGCCCGATGTGGGACTCGATTCCAGGTCCCTAGGATCACACCCTGGGCTGAAGGTGGCGCTAAACCACTGAGCCACCCGGGCTGCCCTAATAGTTGATTTTTGCTTTTATTTCCCTTGCCTCAGGAGACATATCTAGAAAAATGTAGCTATGGCTGATGTCAGCAAAATTATTGCCTGTGTTTTCTTCAAGGATTTTATGGTTGCAGGTCTCACATTTAGGTCTTTAATCAATTTTGCATTTATTTTTGTGTATGGTGCAAGAAAGTGGTCAAGTTTCATGCTTTATATGTAGCTGTACAGTTTTCCTAACACTATTTTGTTGAAGAGGTTGTCTTTTCTCATTGTATAATCATTCCTTGTTTGTCAAATATTAGTTGACCATACAATTGTGGGTTTATTTCTGGGTTTTCTATTCTGCTCCATCGATCTGTGTGTCTATTTTTATGCCGGTACCATACTGTTTTGATTACTACAGCTTTGTAATATAACTTGAAGCCTGGAATTATGATACTTTTGGTTTTGTTTTTTCTTTTTCAAGATTGCTTTGGCTGTTCGGGGTCTTTTTTGGTTCCATATAATTTTTAGGATTGTTTGTTCTAATTCTGTGAAAAAAGCTGTTGATATTTTGATAGGGATCACATTAAATGTGTAGATTCCTTTGGGCAGTAGAGACATTTTAACAATATTTGTTCTTCTAATTCATGAGCATGGAATGTCTTTCCACTTCTTTGTGTCATCTTAAATTTCATCAATGTTTTATAGTTTTCAGAGTAGTCTTTCACCTCCTTGGTTAAGTTTATCCATAGATATTTTATTGGTTTTGGTGAAATTGTAAGTGGGATTATGTTCTTTTTTTTAAAGATTTATTTATTTATTCATGATAGACATAGGGAGAGAGAGAGAGAGAGAGAGAGAGGCAGAGACACAGGCAGAGGGAGAAGCAAGCTCCATGCAGGGAGCCCAACGTGGGACTCGATCCCGGGACTCCAGGATCACGCCCTGGGCCAAAGGCAGGAGCTAAACCACTGAGCCACCCAGGGATCCCTGGGATTGTGTTCTTAATTTCACTCTCTGCTGCTTCATTATTAGTGTATAGGAATGCAACAGATTTCTGTACATTGATTTTGTATCTTGTGACTTTACTGAATTCACTTATCAGTTCTGTTAGTTTTCTGGTGGAGTCTTTAATGCTCTCTCTCTATAGTATCATGTCATCTGCAAATAGTGAAAGTTTTACTTCTTCCTTACTAATTTGGATGCCTATTTATTTTATTATTGCCTGATTGGTGTGGCTAGAACTTCTAGTACTATGTTGAATGAGAGTGGTGAGAGGACATCCTTTCTTGTTCCTGACCTTATAGGAAAAGTTCTCAGTTTTTCCCCATTGCATATGATGTGAGCTATGGGTTTACATATAAGGCCTTTATTATATTGAGGTTTGTTAATCTACCTGGTTGAGGGTTTTATGATGAATGGGTGTTATACTTTGTTAAATGCTTTTTTTTTTTTTGCATCTGTTGAAATGATCGTGTGGTTTGCATTCTTTCTCTTATTGTGATGTGTCATGTTTGTTGATTTACAAATGTATATGCAAATATAAACATATATAAACATATGTACATATATATTTATAAATATATATATTTATATTTAGAGAGGGAGTTGGGGACGGCAGAGGGAGAGGGAGAGAGAGGTTCTTAAGCAGGCTTCTCACTAGGTGTGGACATGGGTCTTGATCTTACAACCCTGATCATGATCTGAGCCAAAATAAGAGTCAGATACTTAACCAGCTGAGCCACCCAGGAATCCTTGATTTGTGGATATTGAACCACCCTTGCATCCCAGTAATAAATCTCACCTTATTATGGTGGATGATTTTGTTAATGTATTGTTGGATTTTGTTTGCTAATGTTTTGTTGAGAATTTTTGCATCTATATTCATCTGAGATATTGGCCTATAGTTCTTTTTTATGATGATGTCTTTATCTGGTTTTGGTTTCAGTGTAATGTTGGCCTTATAGAATGAATTTGGAAGTTTTCTTTCCTCTTCTATTTTTTGGAATAAAGAAGAATAGATATTAACTCTTCTTTAAATGTGTTGTAGAATTTGCCTATGAAGTCTGGTCTTGGACTTTTGCTTGTTAGGGGTTTTATGATTACTGATTAAATTTCATTGCTGGTATTTGATCCATTCAAATTTTCTATTTCTTCCTGCATCAGTTTTGTAGGTTATATGTTTCTAGGAATTTATCCATTTCTTCTAGTGGACAAATTTTATAATTAAAAAATTATAAAAGAATTTTATAATTCTTTGTATTTCTGTGGTGTCAGTTGTTATTTCTCCTCTTTCATTTTTGATTTTATTTGAGTCCTTTTTCTCTCTCTTTAAAGATTTTATTTATTCATTCATGAGAGACTCACACAGAGAGGCAGAGACATAGGCAGAGGGAGAAAAGTAGGCTCTCTTAGGGGAGCTGATACAGAACTTGATCCCAGGACCCTGGGCTCAGGACGTGACCCAAAGGCAAATGCTCAACTACTGATCCACCCCGGTGCCCTTGGTCCTCTCTCTTTCTTTCTCTTTTTTTATGATTCTGGCTAGCAGTTTATTAGTTTTGTTGATCTTTTTAAAAAACTAGCTCTGGGTTTCATTGATATTCTATTATTATTATTTTTTAGTTTCTATATACTTTATTTCTGCTCTAGTCTTTAATATTTCCTTCCTTCTGTTGGTTTTGGGTTTTGTTTATTCTTCTTATTCTAGCTCTTTTAGGTATAGGGCTAAGTTGTTTGAGATTTTTCTTGTTTCTTAAAATAGGCCTATATATAAACTTCCCTCTCTGAACTGCTTTTGCTGCATCCCAAAGATTTTAGGCCATTGTGTTTTCACTTTCATTTGTCTGCATGTAACTTTTTCTTTCTTTTTGGATTTCTTGGTTGACCAATTCATCGTTTAATACATAGCATGTTATTTAACCTCCATGTATTTGTGCTTTTTTCCATATTTTTTCTTGTTGATATCTAGTTTCATAGTGTTAAGGTAAAAAAAGATGCATGGTATGACTTTAGTCTTTTTTAATTTGTTGAGACTTGTTTTGTGGCCTAATATGTGATCTATTCTGGAGAATGTTCCATATACACTTGAAAAGAATGTGTGTTTTCCTGTTTTAGGATAGCATGTTCTAAATATATCTGTTAAATCCATCTGGTCCAGAGTGTTATTCAAAGCCACTATTTTCTTGATGATTTCTGTTTGGATGATCTATCCATTTATGTAAGTGGGGTGTTAAAATCCCCTACTATTATTGTGTTGCTATTAATTAGTTTCTTTATGTTTGTTATTAACTGCTTTATGTGTTTGTGTGCTCCCATGTTGGATACATAAATATTTAAAATTGTTAAATTTTCCTATTGGAAAAAAAAATTTCCTATTGGATTGTCCCATTTATTATTATATGTAGTTTCTTTCCTTGTCTCTTGTTACAGTTATTTATTTATGTATGTATGTATGTATGTATGTATGTATGTATGTTGGGGAGGAGCATTAGGAAAGGGAGAAAGAAGAGAGAGAATCTTAGGCAGGCTCCATGCCCAGTGCAGAGCCCAACATGAGGCCCCATCATATGACCCTGAGATCATGACCTCAGCCAAAATCAGGAGTCAGATGCTCAACTGACTGAGCCACCCAGGCATCCCAACAGTCTTTGTTTTAAAGTTTACTTTATTCAATATAAGTATTGTTACTCTGGCTTTCTTTTGACATCCATTTGCATGATAAATGTTTCTCCATCTCTCACTTTCAATTTGCAGATGTCTTTAGGTCTAAAATGAATCTCTTGTAGGCAGATGGGTCTTGTTTTTTTTATCCACTCTGATACCCTATGTCTTTTGATAGGAGCATTTAGTCCATTTAAACATTCAAAGTAATTATTGATAGATATGTATTTAGTGCCATTTTGTTACTTGTTTTGTGGTTGTTTTTCTAGATTTTATGACCCTTTTTTCTCTTGCTCTCTTTCATGGTTTCTTGGCTTTCTTCAGTGATATATTTGGATTTGTTTCTTTTTATTTTTTGCATGTCTATTACTGGTTTCTGATGTGTGGTTACCATTTGGTTTGTATAAAGCATCTGCATATAGCAGTCTATATTGAGTTGATGGTTGCTTAAGTTTGAACCCATTCTTTTTTTAAAATTTAAATTTAATTAGCCAACATAGAGTACATCATTAGTTTCAGATGTAGTGTTCAATAATTTATCAGTTGTGTATTCTTTACTCCTCTCCTCTCCATGTTTTAGGTATATGGTATCATATTCACATCATTTTATTCTAGGAATCCCTTGTCTGATTTTTACAGAAATACTTATTTTTACTGCTTTTATATTTTTTACTTTTCATACTCTCACTTATGGTCTTTCCTTTCCACTCAGAGTTCCCTTTGATATTTCCTATGGGGCTGATTTAGTGGTCTTGAACTCCTTTAGATTTTCTTTGTCTGGGGAAGTGTTTATTTCTCCTTCTATTCTGACTGATACCTTGTTGGATAGAGTATTCTTGGCTGCAGATTTTCCCCTTTCAACCCTTTGAATATATTTTGCTACTCCCTCTGGCCTTCAAAGTTTGTCCTGAAAAATAGATATTAACTATTCTGCTATCTTAATATCCCAGATAGCCTTATAGGGGTTTCCCCTTGTATGTAACTGTCTTCTTTTCTCTTACTGCTTTTTAGTAGATTCTTTTCAAAAACCTACTAAGGGAGATTAACATAATATGCTTTTAAGATATTTTTTGTTATGGTATAGTAGTCTTATGTAGTTTGCTATTATTATTTGCTATTACTATGATTATTTATGATGTTGATTTTCGATGAAACGATAATCTTCACAGATAAAAGAATATGTACATGGAGTATTCTGTTAGGTCTTTTCATATTCATAAGGATTTTAATCTTCACTGTTTTTTTCTTTTTTGATCACAAAGAATGTCTTCAACTTAGCTGAAGACTAAATCCAAAGAAAATAACAACACATGGGGCACCTGGGTGGCTCAGTGGTTGAGTATCTGCCTTTGGCTCAGGTTGTGACCTGGGGTCCTGGGATCAAGTCCCGCATCAGGCTCCCCTGAGGGAGCCTGCTTCTCCTGCCTATGTCTCTGCCTCTCTCTCTCTCTGTGTGTGTCTCTTATGAATAAATAAATAAAATCTTTAAAAAAGAGAAAATAACAACACAATTGGAGTAGTAAATAATAAAGTCTGGAAATGTTTCAAAAGGGATCTAACTTCTAGAAAATGGTAGTATTTAGTATGCAGAATTCCAGATTGCCAGGAAACTATCCTATACTTCAAAGACTAAAATAAACATCAAGAAACCATTTTTTTGTGAATATTTATTGGCTTTGTGGTTGTTGAGGGACTTCGATTTCTTGACTTGACCATGGTTCAAAACATATTGCAGTTTCCTTGTTAAAATGAATATTAATGAGATTGCTCCCAATGGTGAGTCAATAGCCAACTCAGAGAGTAAAGTTCAAATACAATAACCTTTCTGCATTCTTCTGGTTTTGTTTACAATTGCATTCTATACTAAAAGACATCAATATGAACAATATTTAGGCAGACAGGAACAGTTGGCCCTATGTGAATGATCTTAACACTTAGTATAAATACCTGGATAAAGGTAAGACTTACAACTCATGAAATCCCAAAGAATATGTACATTCATTCATTCAGCAACATTTACTGAGAGCCAGCTAAGTATGTGCTAGCTTAGCATGTGCTACACAAGTACTAAAGATTAAAAAAATAATGATAATGATAATGTAGCATTATATAATCAAATTGCAAAGAGAAGGAATGAGAAAGATTCATTAATGTGATGGGAGGCAGCCTTCTAAAATGGCTCCCAGTGATCCCTGAGTTCTGGTATTTATGCTTTTGCAAATCCCCTCCCCTTAAGTATGGTCTGGACATAGTGATACTTATAATGAATAGAATAATAGCAAAAGTAATAGAATGTCACATCCAAGATTAGATCTAAAAGATTATGATTTCCATCCTGCTATCACCATCTATCTTTGGCTTTTTCTCTTGCTTGCTCTGATGAAGCAAATTGCCATTTTCTGAGCTGCCCCAATGGAGAGTTACACATGGAAAAGTACTGAAGGCAAACTTTGGCCAAAAGCAAACAAAGAGCTAAATCTTGCCAACAACAGTATGAATGAACCTGGAGTTGATTCCTTTCTAATAGAGCCTTGAGATGAATATAGCCCTGGCCAATGCTCTGATTGCAACTCTGTGAGAGCTCTGAAGCAGAGGACCCAGTTTCTGACCCACAACAACACAAGATAATAAATGTTGTTATAAGCTATTAAGTTTTGGGGTACTTTGTTATGTAGCAATAGATAACTAATAAATTAGGAAGTGGAGCAAGGGCAATGAAAACAGAAGGAACAGCACTTGCAAAGATGAGAGAGGAAAGAATAGATTAAATTCTGGAATGGCAAATGATCCTGTGTGGTTATAGCATGAAGTATCTTTATAAGAATGACTCAACGTTTGAGGTGAGGATCGGAGGCCAAATTGTAAAATGTATTTTTTTTAATATTTATTTATTCATGAGAGAGAGCGTGAGAGAGAGAGAGAGAGGCAGAGACACAGGCAGAGGGAGAAGGAGTTCTCCATGCTGGGGACCCGATGTGGGACTCGATCCTGGGTCTCCAGGATCACACCCTGAGCTGAAGGCTCAACCACTGAGCCACCCAGGCGTCCCGTAAAATGTTTTTAATGTCATTTGTATCAATCAGTCAGGGTTCCCTTCAAGAGAAACAGAAACCTCTCTACATATTTTATTTTATTTATTTTTAAGAAGATTTTATTTATTAATGAGAGACAGAAAGAGAGAGAGGCAGAGACACAGGCAGAAGGAGAAGCAGGCTCCATGCAGGGAGCCCGATGCGGGACTTAATCCCAGATCCCAGGATCGTGCCCTGAGCTGAAGGCAGACGCTCAACCGGTGAGCCACCCAGGCATCCCCCTCTCTACATATTTTAAACAGAAAAAGTTTAATATGGGGAATTAGGTACTTATAAGATGATTAGAAGTGTTTAAAACTAAGTCTGATCACTGCTATGACTATAATTGCTTCTCAACATCCATGAAGCTAGGCTAGCTTCTGGAGCTTTGCTGCCAGAAAGCCCAGTATCTCCATGATCATACTTGCCTGTATCAGTAGCTGAAGTAGCATAAAGTTGGTCTCTCCTCCTTTTTTGCCTTTTTATTCATGTGGATATGCATTAATTTGTAGACCCTTTTGATTCTGGAAGTCCAGCTGTAGACAATCTGGGAAAGGCAGTTTTAATTTTTCATCCTCTATGGTTTAGGAAGGCACACACTTAATGGATGCTGAATGCCAACCCACCATATCCACTTAGAATAGTAATGTGTTTGGATTTGCTTCTGGAAAAAAAAAATGAAGGGTCCCCAAAGGTCCAAGGAGTGGCATAATAAGCTCTGTATCTGAGAAAATTCATATATGTAGTGTAAGGGGTTGGACTCAAGGTGTGACAGAGAGGTTGCTGAGACTGGAAACAGAGCAATGAAATAGAAGAAAAGTGATAAGAGCTTGAGCTTAGGTTTGGGAAATAGCAAGGAGAAGTCAAAGTAAATTGAGTTCATTCCAATCCAGTTAATATCTAATGTCACATTCAAACTCTTATGTCCGTTAATTCATGTACCCTGAGTGATACTACTCTAGGGACTGTATTTTTTTAATGTAATGATAGTATTCCAGAAACCATACTTTCTTACTATATTATCAAGTCTAATAATTCTTTATTCTTTATTAAGCATAGGTCTCCATGATTCAGGCTTGGAGTGGTGCTGAAATGAAAGAAACATAGCACAACAAACAATGTTAACTTCACAGTAATCCTTTTTAAAAAATTTATCTTGGGGATCTCTGGGTAGCTCAGTGGTTTAGTGCCTGCCTTCAGTCCAGGGTGTGATCCTGGAGTCCCAGGATTGAGTCCCACATCAGGCTCCCTGCATGGAGCCTGCTTTTCCCTCTGCCTCTGTCTCTGCCTCTCTCTCTCTCTCTCTCTTGAATAAATAAATAAAATCTTAAAAAAATAAAATTTCTCAAAAACTATGATCATACATATGCCACAGAAAAGTTTGTAAGAATTTCCTTCCAATCCTATCTACTTCCATCATAGCCCCCACGTACTGTGGGGCATCTCCTTCCATAAATCCCCCAAATCTCTCTCGACACCTAGCCCTCTGTGATTCTTTCTTTCCCCATTTCCCTTTTATTCTTGCCTCCTCATTCCTAAGGTTGATTTTGACTCTCTCCAGCAAAGTAAACCATTCCTTTTTTGAGAGGGAGACATGGGGAAAATTAGACTGGCAATTAGAGAAGTAAAGGTTGCATGTTAATATTTGTCTTGTCACTGTTTTCACTGTCCACTATTGGATATTTTTCATTTTTTACCTCTAAACTAATTTCTCCTTATTCCCTTCCAAGACACTTGCATGTTAATGGCTTTAAAAAATCCTTATCTTTAGTCCTGCTTTCTCCTGTATCTAAAAATTTACCTATTTTTTAGATACTTCCATCAAGATTTTCTGTTTCCATACCAGAAATAACATACTCAGGCCAAGCTCATTTTCTATCTCAAATATGGTTCCTTTTTCCTCATATTCTAACTTTGCTAGTGAAATAACCATTCATGTAGTTGCCCAAATTGAAAATTCCACTGTCATTTTTGTGTTACTTTAATATCTCCTCAATTAGCCAGTATTTCTGATTTTAGTCTCAGAAATATATTTGGAATCCATTTTCTGTCCTCTATCTTCATTGCCATAGTCCAAGCCCTTATCATTTCACACTGGTATGCTTTGTCTTACTTCCTCTAATCCCTCTTTTCTGTAGTTCAGCAATTCCCATTTACTGATCCTGGGACCAGCTGGATCAGGTTCTCTGGGAGTTTTTTGCTTTTGTTTCTTTGTTTGCTTCAGTACAGGTCCTAAACATGAAAAAACATTCGGATTCTTTTTACTTGTATACTATTATTATTGTCCTTAGAAACCTGCTTTTTCCTGGAGCAATTGATTTTGCTTTGGGCACTAGCTAAAAGTCTGGAGAAGGGCAGTAACATATTGGATTCTTTGCTCGGGAAATCAACATGATTCAATCCTATTCAAGCCAATGGGCATTTATAAGCTCCCACTATGTACAAACATACGCTGGGCTTCAAGTCATCTTCTTTATTCTAGCTTTCTATCCTTAGAAATAAGTTTGTTTTTACTGGAACCACGTCAGCATATTTATATTGATAGTTGGCCTGGTTTTTATAAAAAGCAGATAGTTTTACAAGGGGGTAGATGTATACTATTCGAGCCAGGGAGGTTGGCATGAAGAGGAGGCATTTCTGGGCAGGGAGATCCTGTGTACCACCTAGAAACATAATTAGATGACTGTCGGCTTGCCTTGTTTGAAGACTGGCTTTGGTAGGCTGGACTGTAGGTCTGAACTGGAGTCATACCTCATGTTCTTCCAATTTCTCTATGTTTAATGGAGAATAAAAGAGAATTTGACTAGGAAGAAGGAGACCTCTAGACCAAGCTCTACTTCTAGCTATCTATGACATTTGATCCTATTTTGTCCTATTTAATCACTATGTTTTAGTGATTAATCCTTCATTTTTTTAACTTTGTGAATTAAGAATTTTGAGAAGCTTATCTTGGATCTTTGTGGGCCTTACATTTTCTGAGTGTATAAGCTGGGGCAGTTAAGTCTTAGTCTTTGGTGAGGTTGGTGTCTGCATCAATGAGGGTACAGTTCTCAAAGGTTTTTAGTGTTCCCCTTTTTCCTTGTTAGTGAAATGGATTTAAGAAAAATTTCCTGAAGTTGGGTTGGGATTCCTGAGTTTTTCTTATTTTACCATTGTTGTTTTTGGCAAGTGACTGATTTCAAACTTACATAGTAGAATAGTTGACATCGCTATATTGTCATTTGCAAAAGAAGTGTGGTGGTTTAGGGAAAGAAGTATGAGCTCTGTAGTTATTCTGACCTGGGATTGAATCCTATCTTTAGCACTTAAGTAGACCTGTGACCATATATATATATGCAGGAAAGGTATATAACACATATCTTCAATGCATTACTTTAATGCAATATTGAAGTAATCTGTTGTTTTTGCAAAAGTAAGAGGGACAATTTTGGTTGTTGAAAAACAAATATTTGTAAACCATGTAGTACAAGCTGCATGGGAAGTCATCAGAAAGGGAGAAAAACATGAGAGACTGTTAACTATAGGAAAGAAACTGGGGGTTGATGGAGGCGAGGAGGTTGGAGGATGGGGTAATTTGGTGATAGGCATTAAGAAAGGCATATGGTGTGGTGAGCACTGGGTGTTATATGGAACTGCTAAATCATTGAACATTACATCTGAAACTAAGTATATACTATATGTTGGCTAATTGAATTTATTTATTTATTATTTATTTATTTATTTATTTATTTATTTTGGCTAATTGAATTTAAATTAAAAAAGAAAGATATAATTCATCTGTGTAAATAAGGGAGCAAAGAAATTTTCTAAATACTTTTATTTTTTTAACACAAATCTCTACACCTCTTGGGCTCTTCTTGCTGAAAAAATAACTGATGATACATTTATTAATGACATTTTTAAAGTGTGCTTTTGTGTATAGAGGTAATAATATACTTTTTAGGTATGTTAATAATAAATTAAGGTTATAATGACTGCATGTTAGAGAAAATAATGAATAGACTAGTCTTAGTAAAAAATTAGTTTTCCAAGTAGATAAGCTAGGGATATCAAAATTGAAAAAATTAGCTTCATACATTTTACTCTGTATGCAAGTTTTTGATAAATAACATTCAATTATAGAATGTCATACCTTCCCAGCACCTAACATATTCAATAAATGTTTGCTAAATTTTACTGCTTTTTAACACAGTAATTTTCCTCAGTAATAATTTCTCAGATAAAACTCAGATAAAACTAAAAATTTGTAAGAGATTTTTTTTGTTCCTTACAAAAGTAAAAAAATCGCTAAAAAGTGATTCCAACTCAGATTATTCAGAGATGACTACTATGACCCTATCTGTATTTATAGTTGCCAATTACCATATGCTGGCAACATCGTTGGCCTCATTCTTTTTCTCTACTTACTTAGGCTTTACAGAGAGATCAGGTCTCAAGTCATGGGAATCTCTGTGGCCTTCAGTTGCTGAACTTTTCCTTCCTTCTTTTGTTCTTGCCTGGCTCAGAAGGGCATGCCAGATGATGTGTGTTATCTTTTCAGAATGAAGAAAGGATCTGGCCTGTGGAATCAATAGAGAAAGCCTTAGTCTCAATGGTTTCTTGGTTCTCAACTCAGCTATGCTCAGCCAACTGAGAAGCCTCTTTATAAATGTGTTCTGATTAGTTGTTTTAGGTCCTTGTACTTTGTGAAGCTCCTTTATCCCACAGAGATATTATTAGGACATAGTCAGGCTAGAAAGCTGTGGGAAGCTTTGGAGGTAGGAGGATAGGATCCAGAAAGAATTACAGAAGAAGTTCACCATTTGGTGAACTCCATAGTCCAAAGGTAGTCCTGAGTTGATTCCATTTAAGAACCAAGGGTGGACTTTCTTGTTTGGTTCTTGTCCTTTAAGTTTCCCCATCTGGGGCCAGGATATGTGTCAGGAAAGAAATCAGCCTCAGGTGTGTCTTCCCATTTCTTTCTGTTTTAAACTTCAGCTTCCATGCATCGCACTGTGGTTTTGGTTGGACTCTTGGGCTCTTCTGGCTTTTTATCAGTTTTCTTTGATTCTTCATTAGGATTGCTATCATCGGCTTTCTCTTCCTTTACTACTTTGGTTTCAATCATTTCCTTCTGCTGATTCTTGTTGGTAAAAGGAAAGGTCTTCACATACCTAAAGGCATAATCATAAAATTAAAATGAGATATTTCTATGTAACACATATGACAATAGGTAATGCTTTGTCTGTGATAGCTCATATTAGCACAGTACACTGGTATCTTTATTTCAGAGAGATTCTAACACATGCACACTCAAATATATTAATGCATTCCCACCTTAATGGAGTTAGATGAGGCAGTAAGTTTGCAGGCCAAACTTGAGGCTGACCTCATAACCCTCCCACCAACAACAAAGAACTGAGAATCAAAATAAAACATATATTTTCTCCCTAGATGTCAGTCTTTTCTTCTTATCTCTTAATTTTCAAAGGGACAGCATTGACCTGTTTCTAAAGTCTAGATGACATGCATGTGCTGAAATAGTAGGAAAGATTGGGTGGTGGGGAGGAGAGGTGGGATGAATAAGAAAATTTACAATATAAGAAGACTCTCATTTGTTTTGACTAAGAAAATGCTAAAAACCCTGGAAAAACACAAGATAGGAATGTGACATAAATTATAAGACTAACAATGGGCCAACAACCTCACCTTTTGACGTAGCAAACCGCTAGACCAGCTGCAGCAGCAAAGAAGAGGAGTGCAAGCACTAGCAGAGCCGTGGGGACACCTAGAGGAAACAGAGACATGGCCTGTTGGTCCTTTGCTTAAGCATTGTTGTGTGTTGCTCTTCTAAGAATTCTTTACACAGGATACAGACAACAGATAATGCAGGAGAAAAGCCTTCTCTGTGACCACAAAGGGGCTACTTAGAATGTTGGGCCCACATCTGGTTCTTTGCTTCTTGCCTATAGAAATCCTTGGCCTTGCCTCACATGCTCTCTCTATTCTATAAATTGCAATATGACAGAATCCATTTCCTCTCTGTGGCCTTAAGATAGGTTTGGAACTAATTAAATAGGAAGACTTTCTATCATAGGTACTGAAGGTATATATTTTTAAAAGAACTTTGATGTATTAATAGATGATGACTTATTTTTAAAAGGGTTTGAGTTTTAAAAGTGAAGCTATTTTATACTTGTGATTTTTAGTTTAATCATTAAGGATTTTTAGAGCCCTCAAGTTCTATGGCTTTATGAAATTTGAGTTTGCATTAAGATTTTACTTGTATTTGGCAGGTCTGAGTCTGACTACCTGATCTGAAGACAACCTAGTTTTTACGTATTGTCTGTTATACATAAATGCACAAACACAGACACATACACATACAATACACAGAAATCTTTTACCTCCGAACCCAACGACCTCATTCTTGAATGCTGTTTTATTTTCAATATATGACTCAGTTTCTGTAGATACGGTGCTAGTTTCCATGAAGGCTTCTGTTACACAAATCAATTTTCTTTTCCGTCGAGTAGAAGTGGAAGCCAGAGCAGAAGTAGGAGCAAGAGTAGGTGTAGCAGAGTGAGGTGCATCAGTAGATGAAGCTGAGTATGTACTGTCACTGACTATCATTTCTGTTGTGTATATTGTCTCTTGAATGTTGAATATGGGATCTTTGGTGGTGATAATTTCTGGAATGCATGAATTAATCCAAATATCTGTTGGGAGAGGGAAAAATACAGTAACAATTAAGTATTACAGCAGCCTCCTAACTGTCCTTCCTGTCTCTAGTCTTACTCCTCTTCAATTCCATTATATTGCAGCCAGAATGATCTTACAAAAATGTATATCTAATCATATCACTTCCTTCCTTAGAATCTTTCAGTGACTGCCTCGATTGCATGGCCTATAAGGTCTCCTGTGATGTATCCCCTACTGACATGGCTAGCCTTATCTGATCAGTGTGCTTCTCATTCCTCTTGCCTACTCAGATTTCTTCTGTTCTTTGATATGCTTTCTCTCATATCCAAGTCTTTGGCCATAATGCTTTCTTTACTTGTAAGACTCTTTGCCCCCTTTTTGCTTAGCTCAGTTTGAATATCTCTTTATTAGGGGAAAAAATACTGAGCACAACATACTATGTTGGGGACTGAAAATATGGAGATGTACAGCATAGTTCCAGTTTTTAGGACAAATGTATTCTGATAAAGGTAAGAGGAAATCACTGGGGATTCACAGAGGAGATGACATTTGGGCAGGGTATGGAGGATTAATGTGTTTGTTCAACAAATATTTATTAAATAAACTCCAACTCTGTGCCAAACACTCTTTTAAGTGCTAAGGTCATGGTAAAAAGAAGACAGAGTCCTTACTTTTAAGAGGCTTATATATAATGGAAGGATAGATTTAAAAAAAAAAGAAAGAAGGCCGGGGTGCCTGGGTGGCTTAAGGTGGTTAAGTGTCTGACTCTTGATCTCAGTTCAGGTTGTGATCTCAGGTTTGTGAGATCAAGCCTCGTGCAAGGCTCCAGGCTGAGTGTTTAGCCTGCTTGGAGTCCTCTCTCTTCATCTCTCTCTGCACCATGCCCGGCCCCTCTCCCTCTCAAAAAAAAAAAAAAAAAAAAAAAAAAAAAGTCAGAAATTTCAGAGGATGATCAATGTTAAGAAGAATATTAAACATGATAAAGATTTGGTAAACTGGTAGGGGTGGGGAATGGGAGATGGATACTTTGAATAGGATGATAAAAGAAAGTGAAGAGGTGATACTTAAACTGAGACCTAAGTGATAAAAAAAAAAGTAGCCAGTAATTGAAGATCTAGGGCAAGGCATTCCAAGTAAAGAAAACAGGAAGTTCAAGAGCCCAAAGTTGAATGAATTCAGTGTGTTTGATGAATAAAAGACTGGTATGGCTGGAACACAGCAGTAGTTCATCTAGTGGAAGAGGTAATAGAATATTCTAGTCAATAGGAATAGCATAACCCAAGAATCCAGAAGCTTGAAAATGTAGTTATAGAAAAATGATAAAGAGTAGTGTGGCTGGAGAGGTAGTGTGTTTATATGATTGGGAACATGAAAGACTGCAAGCAGGAGATGACTGGGAAGATAAGCTGAAGCCAGAGTATTGAGATTCATAATTGCCATGTTAAAGCATTAGAAATTTATTTTGTAGGAGATAGAATTTTCAATTGGTTCTACAAACCTCCCAACTGATATACAGGAGTTCTCATACATGCTCACTTTTATGTGTAAAAGGCTTCATAGTTTACATCATATTCTCAAATAGGAAGTCACCCAAGTGCTGTGGAGTAGAGGAGTAACATAATTATCAGTGGAGGTGGCGGAGGATGAAATGCAGTGGGGAGAGAGTACAACCCAGGAACAAGGGAGATTATTGCAATTGCAAAGAAATAGGGGGATCTAGAAGTACTGGGAGTCCTAAAACTTAGATCTTAGAGATCCCCTAGGGAAAAGTGATTTTGAACCCTGACTACAGGTTGGAATCATCTGGGGAGCTTTTAAAAAATATTGATGCCCAGAACCCAACCCACACCTGATATGTTATTGATGTATAGTCATCACCATGGAAGGTGCTACATGGAAGTAGCATGGCTCAAGATTTAAATCCTGGCTCTTTCCCTTATTGACTATGACCATAGCGAAATACATACTAAGCATCAGTTATTTCTCCTGGAAATTACAAATGATACATTTATGTCATTTTACTGAGGATTAATGATATACTAAATGTGTAGGGCCTAGCATAATGTATGGGCATGATAGACAAGATCTATCTAAGAGTTAATTTCCTTTGCCTCTTGTCATTAAGTATAGCCAAGAGGAGCTACAGTGTGTGGGAGCAACAGCAGTCTGGTAACCATGATTCCTACTAGGTTGAGGGCACACCTGGAAGTGTTAAGCCCTAGCTCTCCTTCCTCTCCAAACTATGAATAATTTCTTTAGAATGTGCCAAGCACTCTGATATTAAACACAGAATGTGGTTGGAATCCAAGAGGAAAGATAGGAGTAAGGAGTATGGAAAGGCTTCTTGAAGAGGATGGCACTTGAGAATTGAATAAAGAGTAGCAGTTAGCTAAGTAGAAAGGAAGATGGGTATTGTGGCAGAAGGTACAGCATGAAACAGATGGTGAATGCAGAGCCCAACCTCCAATCTGAGCTATCATTTCATCCATGAAATGAGGAAAGAAGACAAAGCATCTTTCAGGTCTCTTTCTAGGTCAGAGCCTCTCAATTCAGAGAACCGACTGGACCCTATATTGCCTTTGGGCAGCAAAATGTAGCTAGTGCACATTTGTCTCTTAGATTTTAGAATGTGACTTTGGAATCTATCCTTGTATATGACCACTTAACTGTCTGACTTTTAGAAGGTCGGATTTATGAGTATGTGTGAAGAGCAATAAATCAACAGAGGTTCTTATGATAACCTGAGAGCAAGTATTTAGTGAAAGAAAAACTTTCTGAGATGTTCCTTAGGTGAAGCACTTGGGATAAAGTGGCTGTGGTCTCCACACAAGGTTAAAAGGACAACTGTGTGACCATGAGCAAACCAATTCTATTTTCTACCTTCAAGTCCTTCTTCATAAAATGATCATATCCTTAAAGATGTCAAGTGTAGCATCTGAATTTCTTCTCTAAAAAAATGAAGGTTAAGGGAAAGAACATGGTTTCAGAGTTAGATCTCCATTAAAATCTTTGTAGTAGTGAGAACTTAGACAAATGTACTTACGTCCTCTGAGCCAAATTTTCTCCTTTGCAAAATGGGAGTAACAAAGCATACCTTAGAGAATGATTGTCAAGGTTCAGTGTGATCACTCAGTACATTGCTTTGTCATTAGTGGATATTTTGGTACCTTAAAAGATTGAGGGGTGTGGGTAATGGAGTCTCCTGGGAAGCCCTCTCCCTATGTTGTCATTTAGTCATATTTTCCCTAACTTTTTCCTCCGAGGGACCCATGGCCACCTCTAGTTTGGTCACAGAGGCATTCTAGGGGGGTACTAAATTGTCATCACCATGATTTCTTCTATTGCTGCTCAGGGTTACTCTTCTTAAAATGGATCGTAGAGCTATAGAAAACAAGGAGAGGCTATAAATCTGACTCACCAGATGAGTTGTAACAGTAGGCCAAGAACTTTTTGCTGAGTGAATTTCTCCAAACCAGGACACCTATCCCATTCTTCCCACACTTGGGGTTTGGGAGAATCCGAGGGATGACCAAGAGCTTATCTGCAACCCATCCATAGCTATAATAGAATACACGTTAGTTGAATGGATACATTTATTTCTATTGCTGAACAAAAACACGATGCTGAAAGAACTCCAGCAGTGTTTGTGAATCTAGTTGTTTCTCACCTGCAAGTCTCAAAGCCAGACCTCCGTGCTGCTTCAACCTGGTCTTTGCTGGCCAAAGTTAGTCCCATCAGCCTACAGGCTTCCTGGGCTTCTGTGAAATTCAGCTGCTGGATTGTCTTTTTGTTTACAAGGGTGACCCCCACGATTCTGCATGGCCCTGAGATGGATAGTTCTGCAAAGAAATCACAGAGGTCCTCAATTTGCTGCTGTCCTTGTTCCAAGCCTATAGGCTGTTCTTCCCAGTAGAACATTATGGTCTTGAAGTCAGCAGTGAGGTTTTTGTGGCTGGGATTCAAGTTTATAAGTAATAGAACACAGGCCAGGCGTTTCCCACAAGGACATCCTGCTGGATTAGCTGGGTCCTTGCTCTGGTCCAAGCTGACCCTCTTATCAGATCTGAGTCTATCATACCCCACTGCATTAAAGTGCCTTGTTCCTTATGTGGAGGCTTTGGCTACCAGTTCCTGGGGATGGATCTAGGTGATGCAGTTGCTGCATACCTTTTTGGAGTCTATAAAATGAAAGGTCTGAGACTTTAAGAAAGAATTCAGGGCTCTGGTTAATAGAATAGTTAACAAAACTCCAAACCAATGTGGCTTAAGAATACCACTATTTCTTTTTAATTAATTAATTAATTAATTAATTAATTAATTAATTTATGATAGTCATACAGTGAGAGAGAGAGAGAGAGAGAGAGAGAGGCAGAGACACAGGCAGAGGGAGAAGCAGGCTCCATGCACCGGGAGCCCGACGTGGGATTCAATCCCGGGTCTCCAGGATCGCGCCCTGGGCCAAAGGCAGGCGCCAAACCGCTGCACCACCCAGGGATCCCAGAATACCACTATTTCTGAGATGAGCTGAAAAATGTTGCACTTAATATAACAATGTGAGCTTTCTCATTCCCAGGTCTTCTCTGACCATTGGGGGGCAGGCTTACTCAGAAGTTCCTGGAGGAACTGGGCAGTAAACCTTGCAAGACAAAGGAACAAAATAAAGGAAGTTGAGTTTTAGAGTCAGACCTGTATTTGAATCTGGCTTCTGTCACTTGCTAGCTCTGTGATCTTAGGCTAATTACTTCATTTCTTTGAGCCTCAGTTTCCTTATTTATAAAATTGAGAAAGTAACAGTAACTAGTGTTTAGGATAGTGAGAGTTGAATGAGTTAATTCAAGTAAAAATGCTTAGCATAGTCCCTGACACATAGTAGATGCTCAATAAATCATAAATAACATCATTATCTTATTATCTCCAAAGCTTTTTTTTTTAAAATTTTTATTTATTTATGATAGTGACAGAGAGAGAGAGAGGCAGAGACATAGGCAGAGGGAGAAGCAGGCTCCATGCACCGGGAACCCGATATGGGATTCAATCCCGGGTCTCCAGGATCGCACCCTGAGCCAAAGGCAGGCGCCAAACCGCTGCGCCACCCAGGGATCCCTCTCCAAAGCTTTTTGGTTTTAGTATGCTAATGATTGATCTCCCTAAGGAAGCTAAGGCACTTGAGCAGATACATTTTGAATATATTTTACTTAAAAGTTATTGAATCGAAGAGTTCTTTTGATCCCTTTTCTTAGTTCTGGGATTTATAGATCTGTATGAAATTGCAAAGTTGTATTGCATTCAGGTACATTATTCCTATTGGGCTTTATCCACAAAAGTCCATAAAAAGGCATTACAAAGGGACTATGCTTGTATACAGATCTGTGCATTGGATGCCCAGCCAAATGCTTTGGCCACTTTCTAGGTTGATATTTAAAGTAAACTTCTTTTTTGCAAACATGAAAGGAGTATTTCTCAGTCTTCCATGGGACCTTGCTATGCTCTGGAGCAGGGGGCTGGAAGAGGGGAGATGTATATGATGTACAATGTTTGTGGATGGACTTATTTGCCTTTAGACCTTGCTCTCACCAAAAGAGAAACCAGAGAGCCAACACCCCAATATGAATGTGACAACACAGCCTTTTGATTATATACGCTAGTACTAATACCTATACTAATACTGATATTTTTTTTTAAATTTTTATTTATTTATTTACAATAGTCATACAGAGAGAGAGAGAGAGAGAGAGAGAGGCAGAGACACAGGCAGAGGGAGAAGCAGGCTCCATGCACCGGGAGCCTGACGTGGGATTCGATCCCGGGTCTCCAGGATCGCGCCCTGGGCCAAAGGCAGGCGCCAAACCGCTGCGCCACCCAGGGATCCCCTAATACTGATATTAATACTAATGCTAGTATTAATTCTAACATCTATCATCTGTTTATGCTACTCTGTGCCAAATCGTGTTTCCTTTAATAGAAAGTAAAGATTCAGGAAGACTAAGTAACTTTCCCAAGCCCAAGGATATAGAGCAAAGATATAGGGCAGATTGGGGGCACAAACCCACTTACGACTGACTCTAAAACCCCAGTTCTTAACTAGGACACTATTCTGCTTCGTGTTGTATTATGGGGGAGTAGATGAAACAGACACACACACACTGTACAACTAGAACTGGTCTCTCCAAACACACATTTGTCTTAGAATTTGGCTTATTTAGTTCATGAACTTGCTATTGCTCAAATTTCATGGCCACTTCTTTGGGAATACCTGCAAAGAAGGTTTATTATATAATTACACTATAAAGTGGTCTTGCTACTTTTTTTTAATCAAAACTCATTTTAACCTTCAAAGTCATTATTCAGAGTAATGATAGACCTATTCTGGACAATAGGCCTAGCTTTGGTTATGTTGTCTGTTATTAATTGACTCTGGGATCTTGGGCAAGTTTTCATCTATAAAATGGAAATGATTATATCTTCTTCACAGAATTTTTGTCAGAATAGATAACTCATATCTAGCAGAGGCTGGGTCCATCATAGGTAGTCAACAAATAGTTATTTTTATGCTTTCCTATTTCATTTAAAGACCAAAATAGGGAGCTGGAATCCAAGAGCTACTCTACTAATCTCTTCCTTAAGATTGTTTTAGAAAACAGGCATAGTAGAAATACCTTATGCTTAGGATCCAACAGAGCCGGATTCAAGCCCAAGCTTTATTATTTACCATCTTTATGGCATCAGGCAAGTCCCTTTGCCTCACTTAAGCCTGTTTATTCATCTATAAAATGTCTTCTTGAGATGATTAAATGAAACTTTATATATTACATATATAAAAGTTATATATATGTATTATATAATTTAATTTCCTTAGGAAAATTTTGCTGTCATCAAAGATGGTCCAAACATGGAATCATAGAACAGTTTTTAAAAGTTTGGGAAATGGCAGCATTGTGGGGGAAAATGAATAGTATCCACAGGAGAATTTCAAAGAGGACAAAACTTATTTGGGAGTAACACTTCTGATATTTGAAAAAAAATCAATTTTATAACTCCAGCCACTCATAAAATTAAATATAACAATAAATGAATCAACCTGGGATATCTGATTCCAAAATATATTCTATTTTATTTCATTTTTTAAAATTTTATTTATTCATGAGAGACACACAGAGAGGCAGAAATACAGGCAGAGGGAGAAGCAGGCTCCTTGCAGGGAGCCCAATGTGGGACTCGATCCCTGGACCTGGGATCATGCCCTGAGCCCAAGGCAGATGCTCAACTGCTGAGCCACCCAAGCATCCCCCAAATATTCTATATCACAGAACATCTTCCAGCTTAAGAACACACAATTTTCCTTTTAAAGTGCTCATACTTTCATTTGCCTGGAGCCATAATGAGTGATTTGTGGTTACAATTTTTTTGCCTACATTGCAGAATGAAGTTACCACTTAGGCATCTCAAAAGCCCAGAAATCACTTATAGTCATTTCATTGGTAGGAAACTAATGACTAATTTTCAAATCTATATTTTCAGTTTGTTTTCAGTTAATTGGCTGTTCACTTCATATTTAAAACCTATGCATTCCATGGTAGTATAGTAAAATTGAAATTAAAATAATTATACTGGCACTTCCAAAAATATAAATCAGGTCAATATTTAGTGAAAGTTGGCCATTTTCCCAAGTTCAGTGCTTGCTTAAAATTCATTACAATCGTGGTTTGTTTCTTCTATGAAACATTTTTATTTTATTTTTTTAATTTAAATTCAATTTGCCAACATATAGTATAATACCCAGCCATGAAACACTTTTAAAAACAAATGATCTCTCCCCAGTGTTTTCTTTCTTTCTTTTTTTTTTAATTTATGATAGTCACACACACACACACACACACACACACACAGAGAGGCAGAGACATAGGCAGATGGAGAAGCAGGCTCCATGCACCAGGAGCCCGACGTGGGATTCGATCCCGGGTCTCCAGGATCGCGCCCTGAGCCAAAGGCAGGCGCCAAACCGCTGCGCCACCCAGGGATCCCTCCCCAGTGTTTTCTTTTAAGATATTCTTATTAAAAAAAGGTTCCAAAACCAAAAATGAAAGTCAAGATAACATAAAGATAAATGTGAATCATTTTGGTGAGGTTGACAATATGGTAAAAACATTTCTGACAGAGCAATCCTACCAACTAGATCTTCTGTTGACATTGAAGATAACCCCTACTCCCAGCAATCCACAATTAAGAATTTGGTAGGCTTAGGACAATTTGCAAGATCTTGCCTTGCTTCAGGTTGGAAATCTAGTAAGAAACCTACCTTCTACATGGAGAATTGCATGGACCAGGAGCCTTGTGGTCCAGATGGAGGCAAGAAGCAACACCAGGCTGAAGCATTTGGCCATTATGCCAACCCCTTCTGCACTAGAGAAGCACCCTGGATGGTCACTGGTAGTAATGGAGGCAGACAATCACCAGACTGGATGGAGACTTCTGGAAATATATCGGATTCCCACTGCTCCAGTTCATAACTGAGACATCCGGATTTCCCTGCTTTCAAGCTTCTGACTTGTCAAGGTCACTGGGGGAAATGAGTGACGTCCCTTAAATGCCCCTGGTGTACTTTGTGGATTGCTTTCTGGAAAATTTAGCTAATGCTGACTCAGAAAACACACGAATGAGGAAGCAGATAGCACAGCATGAACTGCTGGAGGTTTCCCTAATTCCCATATTCCCTCCCACCTCCCACTTCCCCAACTAGCTCATTCTCACACAGTTCATTGTTATTACCTGTGGAGCCTACTCATTTATATACTCCTAGGAATGTCTGTCTCTAAAGGAGATTGAGTATAGGTTGTGCTTCTTTTCCTCCCAGTTGGTGATGTTTTTTTTTTTCTCCAGCTGCTTATCTTTGTGATCTTGGGGGGTGGGTGTGATGCTGAGGCTTAGGAAAGCAAATGCCCATTTATATACTGAGTACAGTGTGTTTAAGCCTTCCTTTTCCCTTATACACTTGAAATTTCTTTGCCACTGCAGGTAATTCTTTCTTCAAAGAAACAAGACATACAATTCATATTTAGAAAACATAACTGGGGGACAATTCATTAAATTTTAGTTATTTTTCACTTTACAAAAGGATTTTTGGCTTTATAATAGTAGTCACCACAGGGGTGACTTTATATAATGACTGTCTGTAATAACTTCTCTTGTATTCTGATAGACCAAAATTCGATTTAGATTCCCCTTTTCTTGTTTGATGAATGTGAGGTTTATCTGTACTGTGTACAAGCAGACCACACTTTCTGTTTTCCCAGCTGAATATTCAGTGGTTTGTCTTCCATGGTAATTTTGGAATTCTGGCTTGCAAATAATGCCTTGAGCAATGGTTTATGAGATTTCTCCAAAATGATGTCATTTATAGGAATAGTGTATAGATAATAATTTCTTTTCTGTACAAATGCAATTGGTCATAAAATTAGATACCTGGACAGAAAATGCCAGTAACAAAAGAAGAGTTTTCTTTGCACATAGGTAACTTGTAAGAGACCAGGGCATAACTCTTAAATATCTCTAGTATTTAAATATCTGTAGACCTCATTACTTGACTGAGCATAAGTCCCAGGTTATGGGTACCTCAGAAACATATGTGACTCTATCACCATGGAACTAGGTAGACAAGAAGGCAGGAATCAAATCTTTTTCATCATTATCCTTAAAACCTAGCACCATGCCCAAAGAGAATTAGTCTTCAAGCTTTGCTAAAGATTTTCAAAAAGAAAAAAGGAAAGAAGACAGGAAGGGAAAAATGGATCATGTAAGGCAAGGACCTAAATTTTTGAAACAAATTTCTAGAAGAGGAATTATTAGATAAAGGGAGTCTGCATGATGACGCTGGTGCTTAATAATGCGTTTCTGGAAGAAGAAACAATCTTATTTGGTCTGGTCAAATTTTAACTTCTTCTTGCTTGTTTTGGTAGGTTATTTTTTGAATATCCATATTGGGAGAAGTTATTTTTTTGTTTTATTTTTTATATATTGGGAGAAGTTAAACCACCACTGGAATGTGATTGAGAATGCTTGATGGGAGCTTGTTGCCTTTCTTATTAAATGTGAATATTCTCAGTCTTCAGTGGCTTCTCACTCAAGGCAAGTTTCTGATGAGTTAGTTGCCAGGTGCTAAAAGCTAAACTGGAAACCTATAAAGAAAATATTGCCAGTTAATTTCTCTTCACTATTTTGAGGAACAGTGTTTAGGATATGGGGAAAAAGCAGTAGAAGTATCCACTTCTAAAATAACAGCTCATGGGATCCCTGGGTGGCGCAGCGGTTTGGCGCCTGCCTTTGGCCCAGGGCGCGATCCTGGAGACCCGGGATCGAATCCCACGTCGGGCTCCCGGTGCATGGAGCCTGCTTCTCCCTCTGCCTGTGTCTCTGCCTCTCTCTCTCTCTCTCTCTCTCTCTCTGTGTGTGTGTGTGTGACTATCATAAATAAATAAAAATTTAAAAAAAAATAACAGCTCATGCTATAATTAAGGAGAATCAACAATTAAAAAAATTGTAGACTTAGAAGGGAAATTTGAAAAGTTACAGGATATGAAGAGAACAGCAATCAAATTGCAAAGGAGAGCAGGAAACAGAATATCTAGAGCCATTTCCTTCTTTCAACTTGTTTTTAAATATACAGTGTTATATTAGTTTCAGATGTACAATTTACTGATTCAACACATCCATGCATTACTTAGTGCTCATCATGATAAGTATACTCTTAATCTCCATCACCTATTTCACCCATTCCCTATCCACTTCTCCTGTGGTAACCATAATTTGTTCTCTATATGAGTCTGGTTTGTCTTTTAAAATTTGTACATTTGTTTTGTTTCTCAAATTACAGATGAGTGAATTCATATGGCGTCTCTCTCTGACTGACCTTTTTCACTTAGCATTATACCTTCTATTTCCATCCATGTTGTTGGAAATGGCAAAACTTCTTTTTTATGGCTGAGTTATATACCACATCTTCTGTATCCATTCATCTATTGATGGACATGTGGGCTGCTTCCGTAATCTAGCTATTGTAAATAATGCTGCAATAAACATAGGGGTACATATATCCTTTTGAATTAGGGTTTTTGTATTCTTTGGGTAAATACCTAGTAGTGCAATTACTGGATTGTAGGGTAGTTCTATTTTTTTTTAATTTTTTTATTTATATATGATAATCACAGAGAGAGAGAGAGAGAGAGAGAGGCAGAGACACAGGCAGAGGGAGAAGCAGGCTCCATGCACCGGAAGCCCGATGTGGGATTCGATCCCGGGTCTCCAGGATCGCGCCCTGGGCCAAAGGCAGGCGCCAAACCGCTGCGCCACCCAGGGATCCCGGGTAGTTCTATTTTTATTTTTGAGGAACCTCCATACTGTTTTCCACAGTGGCTGTACCAGTTTGCATTCCCACCAACAGTGCAGGAGGGTTCCATTTTCCCCTCATCCTCACTAACACTTGTTATTTCTTGTGTTTTTGATTTTAGCCATTCTGACAGGTATGAGGTGGTATCTCGTTGTTTGATTTGCATTCCCCTGATGATGTGTGATGTTGAGTGTCTTTTCATGTGTCTGTTGACTATTTTTGTATGTCTTCTTTGGAGAAATGTCTGTTCATGTCTTTTGTCCATTATTTAATTGGATTATTTGGGGTTTTTTTTTGGTGTCATATAACTTCTTTATATATTTTGGATACTAACCTTTTATTGGATATATCATTTCCAAATATCTTCTTCCATTCAGTGGGAATAGGTTGGATTTTAGTTTTGTTGATTATTTTCTTTGCTAAAGGAAAGCAGGAACTTTTTATTTGATGAAGTCTAAATAGTTTATTTTTGCTTTTATTTCCTTTGCCTCAGGAGACTTATCTAGAAAAATATTGCTACAACCAATGTCAAAAAAAATTGCCTGTGTTCTCTTCAAGGATTTTTTTATGGTTTCAGGTCTCACATTTAGGTCTTTAATCCATTTTGAGTTTATTTTTGTGTATGCTGTAAGAATGTACATACATTCTTTTGCATGTAGCTCTCCAGTTTTCCCAAAACCATTTATTGAAAACTGTCTTTTTGCCATTGCATATTCTTGCCTCCTTTGTTGTAGATTAATTTACCATATAATTGTGGATTTATTGTGGTCGCTCTATTCTGTTCTGTTTATCTGTTCTGTCCTAATGTGTCTGTTTTTGTGCCAGTACTATGCTGCTTTGATTACTACAGATTTGTAGTATACCTTGAAAGCTGGGATTATACAACTTCAAAATATTTTTTCTTTTTCAAGATTGCTGTGGCTATTTGGGGTCTTTAGGGATTCCATACAAATTTTAGGATTATTCTAGTTTTGTGAAAAATGCTGTTGGTGTTTTGCTAGGGATTGCATCAAATCTGTAGATTGCTTTAGGTACTATGGACATTTTAACAATATTTCTTCTCCCAATCCATGAGCATAGAATAGCTTTTCACTTCTTGTGTTGTCTTTAATTTCTTTCATCAGTGTTTTATGGTTTTCAAACTACAGATCTCTCACCTCCTTGGTTATGCTTATTCCTAGGTATTTTATTATTTTTGGTGCAATTGTAAATGGTACTGTTTTCCTAATTTCCCTTTCTGCTGCTTCATTATTAGTGTATAAAAATGCAACAGATTTCTGTATGTTGATTTTGCACCCTGTGACTTTACTGAATCATTTATCAGTTCTAGTAGTTTTTTGGTGGAGTCTTTAGGGTTCTCTAGATATAGTATGTCACCTGTAAATAGGGAAAGTTTTACTTTTTCCTTACTAATTTGAATGACTTTTTTTTTTCTTGTCTGATTGCTGTGGCTAGGACTTCCAGTACTATGTAAAGTAAGTAAAAGAAGTGAGAAGGGGACATTCTTGTCTTGTTCCTGATCTTGGGGGAAAAGGTTTTAGTTTTTCACCATTGAGTATGATATTAGCTGTGGGTTTTTCATATATGGCTTTTATTATGTTGAAGCATGTTCCCTTGAAACCTATTTTGTTGAGGGTTTTTTTTTTTTTTATCATGAATGGATGTTGTACTTTGTCAAATACTTTTTCTGCACCTATTGGAATGATCATATGGTTTATATCCTTTCTTTGTTGATGGGATGTAACATGTTGATTCATTTGCAAATATTGAACCACCCTTACTTCCTGGGAATAAATCCTGCTTGATTGTGGTGAGTGATTTTGTGACTATATTGTTGGATAGATTTACTAAGATTTTGTTGAGGATTTTTGCATCTATGTTCATTGGAGATATTGCTCTTCTCTTTTTTTGCACTGTACTTATTTGGTTTTGTTATCAGGGTAATGCTGGCTTTGTAAAATGGATTTGGAAGCTTTCCTTCCTTTTCAATTTTTTGAATAGTTTGAGAAGAATAGGTATTATCTTTCCTTTAAATGTTTTGTAGAATTTGCCTGTGAAGCCATCTGGTTCTGGACTTTTATTTTGTTGGTGGTTTTTTTATTACTGATTCAATTTCATTGCTGGTATTTGATCTGTTCAAAATTTCTATTTCTTCCTGATTCAGTTTTGGTGTTTATCCATTTCTTCTAGATTGTCC